CTAGCCTTGAGCTGAAGAGCTGAGGGACAGCACCCAGGCCCAGAGTTCAGGCCCCATGACCGGACCAAAAAAAAAAAAAAAAAAGCCTATGAGGCTGGGTGCTGGTGGCTCACGCCTGTCATCCTAGCTACTCAGGAGGCTGAGATCTGAGGATCATGGTTCAAAGCCAGCCCCAGCAGGAAGGTCCATGAGACTCTTATCTCCATAAACCACCAGAAAAGAAGAAGTGGTGCTGTGGCTCAAGTGGTAGAGCACTTGCCTTGAGCTAGGGACAGTGCCCAGGCCCGGAGTTCAAGCCCCACAACCAACAACAACAACAAAAAAAACATGTTAATTGTAGAGGAGGATTCCTCATGACATATATAGTATCTCCTGATCAAACTCACCACTTCTATCATTCTCTCTCTCTTTTTTTTTGATTGTAGGGCCTGAACTCTGGGCCTGGGCTCTGTCCCCCAACTCTTCAACTGTAGACCAGTGCTCTACCACTTGAGACTCAGCCCCACTTCTGGCTTTTTTTTTTGCTTATGTGGTGCTGAGGAATCAAACTGAGGGCCTCATGCATGCAAGGCAAACACTCTCCGACTGAGCCACCTTCCCAGCCCCACCTCTATCATTCTCATTCAGCCCTTCTCCCCCTCTAAAACAATTTCAACAGCTTGCATCATTTTCATATATGAAAATAAAAATAGCACAATTTGCATATTTAATACACATCAATTTGCATATTCAATACAGTAATACATATTATTAAGCATATGTAAATAAACACCTTTGGCTATAGGTATCCTTCTTCACTCTCTCCATTTGCCTTCTTCCTTCCCTCCGATACCCATTCCCCACCACAAAGTCTGCTTTACTTTCTGCCATTAACATTTTCATTTGTAGCCGGGCGCTGGTGGCTCACGCCTGTAATCCTAGCTACTCAGGAGGCTGAGATCTGAGGATCACAGTTCAAAGCCAATCCGGGCTTTATCTCCAATAAACCACCAGAAAACTGGAAGTGGTGCTGTAGCTCAAGTGGTAGACTGCTAGCCTTGAGCTGAAGAGCTGAGGGACAGCGCCCAGGCCCAGAGTTCAAGCCCCACGACCGACAAAAAAAAAAACCAAAAACATTTTAGTTTGTAATAATTGTACTAAGGCCTCTCACCATAGTATTTTAGAAGTGCATATGTTATAGCTTAACTCAAATAAACCTATTGCTTCCTTTTCCTCTTATCTCCCTGTTGAGCCACGACGTTCATTGTGATTCGTTATACACTTCTTCATACCCGCTTGCAATGTCTTTTGATAATATTTCCTCTCCATCATTACCAAAATGGAACCAAGAGGCTATGAGCCACTTGGACAGACCCATAAAAACAATGACTGAAGCAGTAATTATGTCCCAAACAAACAAACAAAAGCCCAGGACTGAATGGATTTGTTGCTAAATTCTTATCAGTCTTTTGAAGAAAAAAAAATATCAGGCTGGGAAGGTGGCTCAGTGGTAGAGCGCTTGCCTTGCAATGCATGAGGCCCTGGGTTCGATTCCCCAGCACCACACAAGCAAAAAGAAAAAAGCCAGAAGTGGTGCTGTGGCTCAAGTGGTAGAGTGCTAGCCTTGAGCTGAAGAGCTGAGGGACAGCGCCCAGGCCCAGAGTTCAAGCCCAACTGACCAAAAAAAAAGGAAAGTAATTGCTTCACAGAGATGTGTATGACTATGGTATTAAACTACTAAATAGCTAAAAGGAAGGTTTGTTTATAGTTTCTTATTGGGGGCTTTCTCTTTCAAGACCACCTGTGTAATGCTACTTCTAGTCTAACCTTCCCTGTTACCCAGTCTTATCTAACCTAGGTCCTTATCTCACTTTCTAACCTTTTGCTTTTTTATTTTTCTCTCCAGACAAAAGACAGTGGCTTCTTGTTTCTCTCCGGACTTCCTGGCCACTTGAAAAGGGTGTGCTCCTGCCCAGTGACGAGAAGACCTAGCTCAATACCCAGTGGTGAGAAGACCTAGTTTAGTACCCTGTGATGCTCAGGGTGAGAAGACCTAGCTAAGTACTCTGGGAGTCCAGCAGCTGCCCCTGGTACCTGTGAGCTCACACCATGCTCCAAATAGATAGGTTCACAAGAAAGGATGTGTGGTCAAGCGATGCTCACATAACAAAAAGCCTGTCCTTCAGAAACTCTGCATCACTTAAGACATGAGGTATCACCAGAGTTGGCCCTGCTTGTCTGCTCTTGTCCAGCTGTAGTTTAGATGTTCCGATAGACGTCTCTCTGCCAGCAGGGCCCGTGACGGATGAGAAGGAACAGTAGCACCACGAGGACACCAGACACCAGGCAAAAGGCAATAGCGAGGATCACCCTTAGAACTGTGGAAAGACAGAGGAAGGCATTCGTGTAAAAATCCGTGCATTAAGAAAATCTGAAGAAGCCAGGCGCCAACGGCTCACGCCTGTCATCCTAGCTGCTCAGGAGGCTGAGATCTGAGGATCGCAGTTCAAAGCCAGCCTGGGCAAGGAAAGTCCTATGAGACTCTTAACTCCCATAAACCACTGGAAAACCAGAAGTGGTTTATTGTGGCTCAAGTGGTAGAGTGCTGGCCTTGAGCTGAAATGCTCAGGGACAGCACCCAGGCCCAGAGTTCAAGCCCCATGACCGACAAAAAAAAAAAAAAGAATTCCCATGGTCCTCTCACAGTACTAACTTTATGCTGCTGCCTTCTTTTTTTAATGAGTCGCACTGTACAGCTCAGGTTGACCTCAAACTACAGATCCTCCTGCTTCAGCCTTCTGAGTAAATGTTTTGCATTTCTTCCCCTGTAACTAAATTACTGATTATTCTTGTTCACCAGGTCCAAGTAAAATTCTGAGCAATCCACCGCAATCAACTGAATTGAAAAGAAATGTAATCTTTCCATTTACTGAGCCTTCTTTTCAGGTAAATACGGTTTAGGAAGGACATGTTGAGCATGTGTGGGCTATGGAAAGCATTTTTCAGGCTGATCATGAGCTATTGTTAATCTATACCTTTAATGATACATGAACCTCTCCCACCTTCCCTCCTTGGTAGCAGTGGGGTTTTGAACTCAGTTTATTCTAGGCCTTGTAGGATGCCAGGCAGGTTTCAATCACTAGAGTCGTATCCGCAGCCTCTATACATATCCCTATGATATGTATAACTTCAGTCTTGAGAAAATATGGGGTAGTTTTAAAGACCAGATACAAAATTACTATCACGAGCCGGGCACTGGTGGCTGACGCCTGTCATCCTAGCTACTCAGGAGGCTGAGATCTGAGGATCACAGTTCAAAGCCTGCCTGAGTAGGAAAGTAAGAGTTTTATCTCCAGTAAACCACTAGAAAACCGGATGTGGTGATGTGGCTCAAGCAGTAGAGTGCTTGCCTTGAGCTGAAGAGCGCAGGTCAGCACCCAAGCCCAGAGTTCAAGCCCCATGACCGACAAAAACAAAACAAAATCACTATCACACCAGAACATTTTGTCTCCTCTACACACACCCTCATCCACTACAGTGAGCACAGAAAAGTGACCATTAGTTCTCTTATCACTGTAAAAAAGAAAGAGCCAGGTGCCAGTGGCTCATGCCTGTCATCCTAGCTACTCAGGAGGCTGAGATGGTTCAAAGACAGCCTGGGCAGTAAAGTCAGTGAGACTCTTTATCTCCAATGAATCACCAGAAAACCAGAAGTGGCACTGTGGCTCGAGTGGTAGAGTGCTCACCTTGAGCTGAAGAGCTGAGGGACAGCGCCCAGGCCCAGAGTTCAAGCCCCAGGACTGACAGAGAGAGACAGAGAGAGAGAGAGAGAGAGAGAGACAGAGAGGAGGTAGAGTGAGAACATGTTTCTATTGGTTTAGGTGATGAAGAGAAAACCTCTCTGATCCCAGTACCTCTCCCAAATATTACAGGCACACAGATGAAAAGTCACTGATTTTTGCCTTGTCTTATCATTGTAGTTGGAAAGAAACAGGTAGAGAGATTAGATAATCTGGTTGGGGGCGGGGTGTTATGCAGATACTATATCTGGAGGCTTTCAACAGTCTCCGTATTCAAACACCATCTATCACTAATGACTTCCAAGCTCCCATCTCTGGCCTTAATCTCTCTCCAGATGGAGGCTCCTCCTATCCAGTGTATCTCTGGCAGACAGGACCTACCCCCCACCCCCTTTCCTTTATCTATAGTATCTTTGCTTTCTGTGGTTCATTTACTCATGTTGGCCTACCGTTTGAAAACATTACATGGAAAATTCTATAAATAAACAATGCATACGTTTTAAATGATGCACAGTTCTGCGCATCCCCCTCTCCATCTTCCCTTGGACATATAAGTGTAATACTGCTAGCATTCACATAGCATTTGTTGCAGTATGTTCTGTTTTTTTTATTATCATAATTTATAAATTAAACCTATTCAAAGCCAGGCGCCAGTGGCTCATGCCTGTCATCCTTGCTACTCAGGAGGCTGAGATCTGAGGATTACAGTTCAAAGCCAGCCCAGGCAGGAAAGTCCGGGAGACTCTGATCTCCAATAAAACCACTCAGAAAACCAGAAGTGGCCCTGTGGCTCAAGTGGTAGAGCGCTCGCCTTGAGCTGAAGAGCTGAGGGACAGCGCCTAGGCCCTGAGTTCAAGCCCCAGGACTGACAAAAAAAAAAAAGTTAATAATCATCAAACTTTTAGAGACTTTCTCTCCCCCCCACCTCTCTCTCTTCTTTCCCTCTCCCCCCAGTCCTGGGCTTGAACTCAGGGCCTGGGCATTGTCCCTGAGCTTCTTTTGCTCAAGGCTAGCACTCTACCTCTTGAGCCACAGTGCCACATCCAGCTTTTTCTGTGTATGTAGTACTGAGGAATCGAACCCAGACGCTTCATGCATGCTAGGCAAGAACTCGCCCACTGAGCCACCTTCCCAGCCCGAGCCTTTCTTTCTTTCCCATCCCATATTGATCTGTCAGAATAGCTTCTTGGTTCTATACCAAAAATCCAATCCGGAAACCACCGACTTCTCCCTGTGTTGGATCACTGTAGTTTGCCAGGACCACTACAATGGCCTCTCCTGATTTGTTCTCTAGCTTCTACTTGGCCTTTGCTTCACACTCTGTTTTAAAGGCAGCAGCGGAATCACCTCAAGTCAACCTGCGCCACTCTAGTAGCGAAAGCCAAGTAGGCAGTGGATGATGGTGTCCATCCTATGAGGCTTCAAAACCATCTGTCCCTCCCCCCCCCCATCACTCTCTCTCCTATCATTCTCCCCTTACACTCCCTGGCCACACCGTCATTCTTACTCGTTTTCAAACAAGCCACACACACTTCCTAAGTATTCTGACGACAGCTTAGTTAGCATTGCCTGAATGTTCTTCCTGCAGGTCATAGCCTTTATCATCTTTGTGTAAATCTTATCTTCCCCATGACTATTCAAAACTGTACCCATATACCCTTCTTTATTATATTCCTCTAACAAGTTGACAATTGTGACCTTTCATCTTCAGAGAATTTTTATTACATATATTTATTTTTGGGGGGGGGGGTCATGGGTCTTGAACTCTGGGCCTGGGCACTGTCCCTCAGCTCTTCAGCTCAAGGTGAGCACTCAACCACATGAGCCACAGCATCACTTCTGGTTTTCTGGTGGTTTATTGGAGATAAGAGTCTCACACACTTTCCTGCCTGGGCTGGCTTTGAACCACGATCTTCAGATCTCAGCCTCCTGAGTAACTAGGATGACAGATGTGAGCCACTGGCACCTGGATTGCATTTTTTTTCAAATTATCTTCCCACTCTTCTAATTGAACATAAGCTTCAAGGATGCTATGAATTATGTGTGTGTGTTGTTGTTGTTGTTTGTGGTACTTAGGACATAGTAGGTGCTAATAAAGATGTGTAGAAAAATTAGCAATCTGGAACTCCTAGGTTGCCAACTTACTCCAGAGTTTTTTCTATGATGCCAGATGCTTCTTTGTGTCACAAGAAGGCAAATATTAATTCAGTTAGAGCCCAGAGGATGGTATCATTGTTCTTGCATATGTCATTAGGAGGGTTAAATAGGATTGAAGAAGGAGCTGTGGGAAAGTCATTTGACTGATACTGAAATGGAGGTGTATCACAGGCCAGTTGGAACATGGGAAAAGGTACATTCAGGGGATTTAGGCCTAGTTGTTTTCATTTCATTTCCATGGGGGTGGGGCGGGTAATAAGTGGATGTGGTGAGCTACTATTATGCATGGAGGTGTCACAGCCCATTCTTTTTCAAAACAAAACAAAACAAAAAATCTCTGGAAAAGAGAAGATGGTAGAGATGTGTTAGGCTTGGTAGGGAATGATGGAAATATCTTTGATAAGATACAGAGGGCACCAGGCAGGGGTTCACGCCTGTCATCTAGCTACTCAGGAGGCTGAGATCTGAGGATAGAGGTTTGAAACCAGCCCAGGCAGAAAAGTCCGTGAGACTCTTATCTCCAATAAACCACCAAAAAACTGGAAGTGGCGTTATGGCTCAAGTGGTAGAGTGCTCGGCTTGAGCTGAAGAGCTGAGGGACAGCGCCCAGGCCCAGAGTTCAAGCCCCAGGGCCAACCAAAAAAAAAAAAAAAAAATTCTCTACTTAGATGTGGCAGTAAGGGTTGTAGATTTAGATGGCCAAGGCCTGGACAGATCACTCCTGCTGAGCATGGATTGAGGAGAGCAAGCACAGGATCTGAGACAGGATGAAGGGGGTTAGAAGGTTTCTTTCCAAGAGAAGCTGGCTACAGAGTCTGAGAACAAAAAAAGAAAGTTCAGGGGCTGGGAAGGTGGCTCAGTGGTAGAATGCTTGCCTTGCATGCATGAGGCCCTGGGGTCGATTCCTCAGCACCACATAAACAGAAAAAAAAGCCAGAAGTGGTGCTGTGGCGCAAGTGGTAGAGCGCTGGCCTTGAGCTGAAGAGCTGAGCTGAGGGACAGTACCCAGGCCCTGAATTCAGGCCTGTTCACTCTATCTGTCTGTCTGTCTCTCTCTTTCTCTCTCACATTCTCATGTGCACACGCCCACACACATTTTTACTTATCCTTATCAGAATAAAGAAGATGAAACGGAATCTGAAGTTGGGGAACAATAAATAGGCCTTCTTATATAGACTAGGAAAAGAATCCAATGAGGATGGATGGATAGATAGATAGAGATAGAGATAGAAGATAGATTGTGTGTGTGTGTGTGTGTGTGTGTGTGTGTGTGTGTGAGTGAGTGAGTGAGATGAGGCCTGAACTCAAGGCTTAGAGGCTGCTGAGCTTTTGTGCTCAAGTCTAGAGCCACACAGCCCCACTTCTGGTTTTTTTGGGGAGGAAGGTGGTTCATTGAAGATAAGAGTCTGTGAGCAGACTCTTCCACCCCAGCTGGCTTCAAACCACCATCTTCGATCTCAGCCTGTCCTGAGTAGCTAGGATGACAGGTGTGAACCACCAGCACCCAGCTCGTGAGGGTCAATGTAATCAAGCTATGCAGAAAGACCTAGAATCAGAATGTCAACACTCACAGCTAGAAATGGTGGCAGGAGGCTCAGACTCTTGGTTGCTTTCAGCTTCACTTGTCAGAGATCACAATAGAAAAAAAAATCTCAAGCCAGGGCTCCATCTCGAATTGGGTACTGGGGTGATGGACAGGGCAGAGGCCAGGTCATGACTGAATGAACATCAGAGTTGCCTCCACCAAAGGCAGGAGTGGGAGTGAAATGTGGATTGAGACATCCATTCCAAGATCTTGAACAAAGAGGCATGGCCTGGCACACTAAAGACCAAAGACAATGGCAAGAAGGCATTGCCGAGGGCGCTTTACCCAGATGTCTTCATCTTTTGAGGGAGGAAAGTTGCAGGAAGGAATATTATTGAGTGTATGGGAGTGTGTGTGTGTGTGTGTGTGTGTGTGTGTTGCTAGGATTGAACCCAGGGCCTTGTGCTTGGTAGGCAAGTGATCTACCACTAAGCTACATTCCCAGAACAAAAATGGCAGGGGTGGGGGGAATACCAGCATTACTTACGCTGAAAGTAAATGTCAAGTAACACACATTCTGGCACATACATATGTAAATATAGCTAGTTATTGGGTCTTTACAAGGCCCTCAGTTTTGAAACTGTGCAGTAGAGCGCTCGACTTGAGCTGAAGAACTGAGGGACAGCGCCCAGGCCCAGAGTTCAAGACCCACAACTGACCCAAAAAAAAGGTAGAAGTGGAGCTGTGGCTTGAGTGGTAGAGTAATTCTAAGCTTGAGTGAAAAAGCTAAGGGATAGTGTCCAGGCCTCCCCCACCTCCCCCCCCCACACACATAAACACATACACAGCTCACAATTAACTCTTGGGCATGTGGGTCTGGACTGCAGTTTCTCACAAAGATAATGGAGAGGGAGACGGATTGTCTTGGAACTTCTCACTAGTCAATCTGTCCCTTATGACATATTGGTAGGAGTGGGAGACAGCTCAGGAAGAAAGTCTGGTTAGTAAGACTTTGAAATTAAAGAAGCTTTGGTTTTGTTTTTTAAATAATTTATTGTTTTCAAGACACATAGTATAGAATTTACACTTGTCATGGATTTTCTAGCCGAGACTCTGGTTAATTGATAATGATCTGGTGACTGGGTAGAATTTCTTGGGTGGAAATGAATTCGGGACACATCATATATTTAATGCTTTTGCCTCAGTTCCTGTATTGGTTTTCTGCAAACACTGTAGGTATCCTGTATTCCACGCATGTGTGTGTGTGAGTGTGTGTGTGTGTGTGTGTGTGTGTGTGTGTGTGTGTGTGCCAGTCCTGGGGCTTGAACTCAGGGCCTGGGCACTGTCCTTGAGCTTTTTTCCCTCAAGCCTAGTGCTCTACCACTTGAGCCACAGTGCCACTTCCAGTTTTCTGGTGGTTCATTGGAGATAAGAGTCTCATGGACTTTCCTGCCCAGGCTGGCATTGAACCGTGATCCTCAGATCTCAGCCTTCTGAGTAGCTAGGATGACAGGCGTCAGCCACCAATACCTACTGTATTCTACTTAAATAATAATAATATTACATTTCTCAAGTCGGAGATATTTCTGAAATGTATCTGGGCCTCTTGGAGTTTTATTTTCTAACTGGGGGCCTTCATAAGAAATCACTCGGCCCCAACTTCCATGCTTCACTCGCTCTGTAGTATCCAAGGCGAAGTTCCCAGTGCGACAGTCACTTCCCAACACTGAGTGACAATCTGCCTTCAGGCGATTTTCACCTGCTGCCTCCCGCATCTCTACGTAGACAGTATGGAACAGGTCCAGTCTCTTTCCCTTAAAGAAGTTCAAATGAAGAACTCATGGCCTTGTGGCCTAGGCTTTTAAACGTCCTCTGAGCTAAAATCAGTGGTGGGCTGGTAAGCTGAGTCTAAACATCAACAATGCTTGATTTGTACCATTTAGATATGGACTTGCTGATACTGGTGCATATGTGCTCTGTGTGTGTGTGTGTGTGAGTGCTCTGTGTATGTGTGTGTGTGAGAGAGAGAGAGAGAGAAAGAGAAAGAGAGAGTATTGGGGCTTAACTCAGGGCCTCTTGCTCTTACTTGACTTTTTTTGCTTGAGCACTTAGCCACACCTCCACTTTTGGCTTTTTTTGGCTAGTTAACTGGAGACAATGAGTCTCATGGACTTTCCTACCCAGGCTGGCTTCAAATCACGATCCTCTGAACTCAGCCTCCTTAGTAGTTAGGATACAGGTATGAGCCACCAGTGCCTTGGCTGACATTTTGTTTTGAGAAAAAAGACTTCTGTAAAGCCACTATGAGTAGATTTAGCAAGAAGAGGTGAATCATGGGGGGACAAAGGAGAGAATGGAGTAAATATGACTCCCAGGTGATGTGGTATTGCTGCTAATCAAGTTATAAAGGGGCTGGGAAGGTGGCTCAGTGGTAGAATGCTTGCCTGGCATGCATGAGGCCCTGGGTTCGATTCCTCAGCACCCCATAAGCAGAAAAAGCCAGCAGTGGCACTGTGGCTCAAGTGGTAGAGCGCTCGCCTTGAACTGAAGAGCTGAGGGACAGGGCCCAGGCCCTGAGTTCAGGCCCCATGACCAACAACAAACAACAACAAAAAGACATAAAGAGTAGGTTCAGGGAGGAAAGGTAACTTAAGTACACATGAATTAAACAAATATTTGTGGTGCACCACATGACAGCTGGCACAGGCTCTCCGAGGTATGGGGGAATAGATAAGTCCTTGCTTTTTATAGAACTGATCATTTTATCTTATCAGAAACGGCCCCTTGAATGCAACCTGCAGGAATTGCCTTGAAGCCTGATTTTCTGCTTAGTTACTCCCTCCACCCCATTCCCAGTTTCAAGTCACTGGGACATGGGATAAGGTACACCCTTAGGAACACTTGTCCAGCTGGAGTTTGCACAGGGGCACTATTTCCTGTTACAGAAAGCCTTTGCAGAATGTCCCGCCTTCCTTCCTCCCTTCCAAATCCGGGTAACTCTTGTTCCCATAGCAACCAGAGTAATAAGAAGCAGAAAAATTAGCCATCTGCAGCTTAGCTTTGATGTCAGGGAATGAAGTCTGGATTTTAAAATGTGCATTTAAGCCGGTCAAGTCAATTTAAGTTCAGATATTCCTTCCTGATACATTAGAACAAAGACCCCTATCTATATCTATATATGTATATATCCCTATATATACATATTATATATATTTTTTAAAAGAGCACTCCTGCAATCCACCTGCAGGAATTTTATTCCAATTAAATAGAAACACACACACTCTTCTCAGAAGTTGTTATTTACATTCGGCCCACTGCTAGAGCAAGATTACAAGCGGCCCCGATGACAAACATCATACACAGGAAAGAAAACCCCAGGAAGCGACCTTATCATTCAGTCCGTGTCTTGTGTCGGTCAGTCTTCTGGTGACTAACCAGGAGAGAGGGAATGGGTTTTGCACTAGATTCAGGCATCCACTGGAAACTGTCTCAGCGTTATCCGTAATTGGAAATAATAGCCCGGTTTCTCTAGATGGGTTCACCTGGCTGGGTAGCAAGATCTGCCGTGTTATCGGAACACTGAGTTCTTCTTACACAGTGAGCAGTTTCAGCAGACCTGTGAGTTTTGATTAGGGGTTTCTGAATTCACCAGAATCAAAGCCTTTTTTGTCCTCTGAACAGATCTCACACCCTCCACCCTCAACATTCCCACAGGTTTCCACCTAAGCATGTCTTGCAATGCTAATTTCCTTCCAGTGTGGGGGGCGGCGGCGGCGGTGGTATGTGGCATGCTGTCCTCTCTTGAATGGGTTTTTTAGAATCCAGAATATCTCCTGGCATTGGAACTTCAAGAGATGCCTCGTCCACCTCTCTCCACTAGTTTAATCCTTCCTTTCAGATTTTATCTATTTACTGCCATGCCTGTGTTTCAAGAGCTGCTGTGTGTAAGTCTGACGCACAGCAAAGCTCTCTGGGAAACTCCATTTTGGGTTCCTCCAAAGGTACACACAAAGGACACCACTGAAAGGCTGTCTCTCTCTCTGTCTCTCTCTCTCCCTCCCCCCTCCTTCCTCCTTCCCTCCATCTCTCTCTCTCCCTTCAAGTTCTGCTTACCTGGAATGTGCCAACACAAATGTCAAACCCAAGAACCAGGTTCCCAGGGCAGAAAACTCCTGTGTATCTTACCTGTTTGCTTTTCCTTCAGACAAGGCAAGGGCTGATAGACAGGTTGACCCTTTTGCTATTGAGCTTCGGATTACAAGAGTTCACTGTGGTCTCTCATCTAACCTTGTGGGTGTTGCCTGAAATCTGCTCCCCTTCAACCTCTACCAGCCTA